CAGCTCAGGCACAGCCCTGCCGCCTGCCCTCACTCAGCTAACAAGCAAAGGTCGGAGAGACCTGGCAGTGATCTGTTAGAACAAAGAATGCAAGAGCTGCGGCCATGTCATACTGTCCCCACCTGTCAGAAGCAGTAAACTTCAGATTGCTGGTCTTAAAACATTCCCCAGCTCTATAAACGCACCTGCAGAGGAATACGGAGGCTTCTGTACGCTCTCTTTCCACCAGCTTTTGGTACCCCCTGCTGGTGAAACTGTGTGATCCAGTTGGCAAGAATTTCAGAACAAGGAGAAAGAGAAAATTCCAAGTTTGTGAAGTCACAAATAAGTGAGTCTTGAAGGATATGAGGATTCCATAAGTTATAGGACCATTCCCTGTATCACATGACTGTTTTATGAGGTTTTTGTTTTTTGCTTTTTGTTTTACATCTATAGCTGTGGCTCTTCTGCAGGCCCTGAGGAGGGGGAAATCTCTGACTTTTGTAAACATTCCATTAATTCCTCGAGCATCCCAAGAGTTCTGTTGACAACCACAGGAAGGAAATGCTAAGTTATTAGCCAAAAATATTCATAAGTATAAATATTCCAAGTCACGAAATAATTTCATGCAGGTTTTTCTTCCTTTTTCCTTGTATGTGTCTTTTTCTAAGTGGTTATAATTTGCAGTCAGAGTAGGATGGCAATCTTTCTACACTTCAGATTGTAGGGTTTTAAGTATAAATTTGTGCAACAAATTTGTTGAGCACCAGTTATGGTACAGCCGCTCAGCAAGAAACTAGAGTAGGTGCAAGAAGTCAAAAGCCCTTCATTCAAGAGGTTCTTGCCCTGGTGGGCAGGAGAGTTGAATCACTGCGTAAGGACTAGTCAAGTGCTGAGCTGACATGGCAACAAGGCATTGCTTGATCTCCTGCCAGGACGCAAACCAGCTATTACGTCTCTCAGAGCTTCGTGTGTTTCTCCTCCTTGGCTTTTAGCACCTTTGTGATTTGATGTTTGTTCTGTATTATCGGTTTAGTGCCTGTCTTTGCCATGCATCTCTGTTCTATGGAGGTCAAAGTTATGTGTAGTGATTTGTCACTGTGACCTCCTTCCACCTAGCGGAGATTGGCACATGTAGGTGCTCAATAAATACTAGTTAAATGGCTGAGTCAACCAAGCAGAGAAAAGAGGAAATATGTTTAGGGGAAATCTCAACAAGATATGACTCTGGAAAGCCACTGAGCCTTGCAGGATGAAGAGGTGGTGGCCAGTGGAGGAGAATGGGGGCATGTTTAGGAAACAGAGTATTGAGGAATGGGTGCAGAAGGGAGATGAGTAATTGGTGTTTCCTAACAAGGAGACAGGTGTGAAAGAGAAGGCTGAATTGAAGCTGGAGCCACAGTCTGAGGGTCTCATATGGCCTCCTCACTGGCTTGGATTTTCCCTTCTCTTAAAAGGGAGGGGAATCAATTAAACTCTATGGCAATAGGAAAGGCTATAATTTTTTCTTTATTACCGAGAGGATTTTTAATACTTAAAATTTGAATTCTGATAAAGTTAGGTCCCCAGACTGTGCTTTTATGTTTTATTTCCTTCTGTATTAGCTCCCTTTCCACTTTGTAGCATGTGTACCTGTTGCTGAAACACCTGTCTATACCTTTATAATTTACTATAGAGTAATGGTTCTCAACCTTCCTAATGTCGTGACCTTTTAATACAGTTCCTCATGTTGTGGTGACCCCCAATTTCATTGTTACAAATTGAACATAATCAAAGCATAATGATTAATCACAAAAACAATATGTAATTATATTGGGTTTTCTGATGGTCTTAGGCAACCCCTGTGAAAGGGTCGTTCGACCCCCAAAGGGGTCTCAACCCACAGGTTGAGAACCACTGCTATAGAGCATCATCATCATCATCATCATGAACAGGTAGCATCAACCATGAACTACTAAGTACTAGGGATGTCATATGTCGGTTTTTATAACTCAGTTGTCCAATTTTTAAATACGTGTTTTGGAGAGGCTCAGTGTTTCAAATATTTATCCAGGTGTTCAGAGCTGCCCAAACATTTCTGTGAAATGCCATTTTTCATAGAAGCAGTGAGGCTGTTTTTTATTAATATTACCCCTTTGGAAAGCAATGATTTGTGCCAAAGACAGCTTTCTCCATATTATTTTACCCTGAATGGAATGAGATTGGTTAGGAGTTCTGCCCCCAGGGAAATATCAAAGACTCCAATACATAGTCATTTATAGTTTTAAAGTTTACTTTCTTATCAAGTTTCCTTTTATTTCCTCCTGGGGCGATGTGAGCAAAGCTCAGGTAGAGGCAAAGGATCTGATGTATATCTTTTCAAATTTATGATTAAGAAGGTCACATATACATTTTTAAACATATTCCTTTTTGATAATAAATGAAGAATAAAGCTTCAAAATGTCATCAGTAGCAGAATTGCTCGTTTTTCTTTCATTGGCGTTCCCCGCTCCCTGTCTGATTGCCTGTAGGTGGTGAGAAAAACTGATCCAATGCTACCTTTCCTGTTGTTTTTCTATCTGCCTGGAATAGTTTCACTAGGGGAACAGTATGCTTGGGGCCAAAGCATTGTAAGAAAGATACATTCCTACTCCTAAGTGCCCAGCTTTCCCCAAACCAATGGGTGAAAAGAAAAGGTAAAGAATTCCATTTTAGGCTGCATCCATATACAAATTGTGGCCAAAGGAGGGAGGTAGGATCACTTATTTTCTTCTGGGTAGGGATTCCTGGAGCAGATCCACTCTCCATGCTTCTGCACTCTGCTCTCTGTTTTCAGAGCTGGATCCATAGGGACTCAATGTCACTGGCTTCCCATTGGGCTCAGCGAATGAGAGCCACTGTAGGAGTTCAGGGTAGAGGAGAGGAGGTAGCCAGACCATGATGCCTCTGGCTCAGGATTGGCTGGCTCCTTCAAGAGAAGGCCATTTCTATTCAGGTGGCCTCTTCAGGACTCTTTCCTTTTCGGTTCTGGTGACTGCTTCCTCCCCTTTCCTTCTGGACACACGAGTGGTAGACAGCTCTCTGGTCATATATTATACCTTGGGCTCCCCTACACCCTTCTCGCCTTTGTTGGTGGTTCTATGCCAGTGGTGGGGAACATCCAGCCCGTGGGACATATAAGGCCCATGAAATCATTTGGTCTGGCCCTGCAAAGGCATTAGGGGTGAGTTAATGAAAGTCTGACCAAATATAGAGGCTAATTTTTAAGTTGAAAATTTGGTATGGCCCAAGAATGATGTTATAAATCTCCAAATGGCCCTTGGCAGAAAAAGGTTCCCCACCCCTGTATAAACTCTTCTCAAGTTACACTCATTTACTGATAAGTGTGCCATTGGTCATTCTGTGTGATCTACACCTAGGTCAAGGGGCCCATGCAAAGGAGGATGCTAGCATAGTGTCCAACTAGAATTGATCCTAGATGAACTGCTCTCAAACATCTGTAAGTCCAGGTTTATCCTTTCACTTAATACCTCTTCTGACAGGGAGATCATTACCTCTTGAAGCTGCCTATTTCATAATCAGGAGGGTTCAACTTTAAAGAATTATTTCTTATATGGCACTGAATTTGGCTTCTCTTGGACATCTGTTCTTCTCTCGTTGAGATAGGAGGGACCAAGATTAAATCTGAAACCAAGTTCTGTGGAAAATGAAGGAAGACAACCAGAAGACTCTCCTCTTGAGATTTTACCTATAGCCTTTCATATCATAGGAACATAATAACTATATTTAGATGCATAAATGTTGGGAAAACCCAGAGGGACCATGCTGCCTTTCAGACACATTTGAAGAACTATCATATGCAAGAGGGCTTAATCATATTTTTATGTCTCTGATGATAGATCTAAGACAAAACAGTTTAAACTTAAGGGAAATAGATTTCAAATCCATGTGAAGAAGAACTTTTAACCCTTTAGCTCCTTAGGTGTCAAAGTCTCCATCACTTGATATAACCTGGGGATTTCACAGTGGGGCTGTTGGAAGGGGTTTCAGACATTGGAATGTAGTTGATCCAGTGGCGATGATATCAAAACAAGCATAGCAGCTGGGTTGGGTGTTCACTGTGTGCCAGGCATGTTTCACACGTTGTCTCTTTTAATTCTCACATCCCTTTGAGGCCAGTCCTGTTATTTGCCACAGTACACAGAGGAACTTGCCCTGGGTCATGCAGCTGCCAGGTGGTAGAGGTAGAGTATGAGCCCAGGCCTGCCTGATGTTAAAACTAATGGCTTTAACCTTCAATGGGCAGTGGCAGAATAACCTGGGGAACTTGGTGCCCACGCAAAGGTCCGGGCACTGTCCTACTTCCATGAGCTTGGGCCTGTGTGTGTGTTCAGCTCTCCGAATGATTCCAATTTACACCAGAATTCAAAAGCACTGCTCTAAACTAGTGTTATTATAAATGCCCATCTGGTTCTGAGAGTCTGTTATGCCTAAGTAAAAAGCTATACATCAAGTTTAGCTTTAACTTTGCTCCTTCTGAGCTACAAGGCTACCTAAACTCCACCCTCACCCACTGCCAACCACCAACCCCTACTTCAATCTACCATTGTTTTCTTAACTATTTCATGAGCTCAGTTCCTGAGAAAGGTCAGACTCCATTTAAATCTCATTCAGAGCCATGGGAACAGAAAGATCAATCTGGCCTCTCACGCCTTTGACAGGAGAGTAAGGGAGGCATCATGCTAGTCTCACCGAATTCCTGTTCTAACCTCATCTAAGTTCATCCTGTTCCAAGAACACACCATAGTTGGGGATGAGGCAGGATGCATATCATATTTCTGAGTAAACAGAAGCCACTAATGGTTTTAGAAGGATTTAGGTTTATTCCACCTTGATACTGGAGGACCCACTTTGACTCTGTTTCTGGAGACTGAACCAGGTTTGGGGTTGAGGATGATGGGTAGGGAAAGAGAGCAATCTGGTCTTCTCAATGCAACTGGCACCATCTGACTGTGATTTTTTCCCTTGCACATGTCCCAAAGGAAGCTGGCCAAGAAGCAGAAGGAGACACAGAGCGGAGCCCAGAGGGAGATGGGGCCTGTGGCCTCGACCGACAAACCCACCACCAAGCTCAGCACCAGCCGCAATGATGAAGGCTTTTCCTCCAGCTCTCAGGATGTTAACGGATTCAGTAAGTTGAGCTCACTCAAGGCAACGGAATATCTGTGGTCCTACTTGACCCTGGTACCTCTGCTGTGGACCCCTCACAGTGTTCAGGTGCTGCCGGGCATGGGGTTGAGGTGCTTCCCTGGGACGGCGCAGGATGAAAGTTCTCCAGGGAAAAAGTTGGGACCACCCATCGTGGGGTGAAAAGGAGAATTTAAGAATTGCCTTAAAATGGAGTCAGCCATTTTAACTGTTTGTGGCATAAATAAAGACAGGTTAAAACTAATAACAGTAAAAAAAAAAAAAAAAAAAAGGAGGAGGAAGACATGGTTATGCACTTAAGGAGAAAAACATGCCATATTGAATTGAGTGTCTTACAGTTTTTAAAACAACATTTGATATAAACCATGTAAGGTAGATGAGTCATAGATTATTGCTGTATCTGTTTTGAATGCTTGGGAAACTGAGGCTTAGAGAAGCAACTTCTCTCAAGTCCCAGCGCTGATGAGTAGCATATTCAGACCTGGAAGCTATGCCTCCCAAGCCTTGGCCAGTTCCAAGCTCCAGCTAATGTTCCAAGTGGCATTTAGTCAGGAGCACCTGAGCCCTCACGCGGAGTTAATACAGGACCCCGAGCCAACAGAAATGGCTGAGATTCCGGGGTTGGCCCTCCTCCAGAGGGCATCCTCCAGACGGGTGACCTAACGTTACCTTGGTGATCAGACTCCAGAGAGCTGACTTGTGTTCAGATCGTTCTGTCGGCCGGTGTTTTGTTTTGTTTTGTTTTGTTTTTGTTTTTGTTTTGTTTTTTTCTGGGTTTAATGGAATGCAGGGAATCTAAAGGAATGTGAGCATGGACAGATGACCTCCACACACTGTGTCAATGACAAATGGAAGAAACCATATTTTGTAAAAATCACTTTGGATGTGATCAGTTTGGGATGATTCAGATCTTCAGAAGATGAAGAAAGAAAAAAAGCAAATGTTTACTGACCGCCCTCCTCCCTAACTACAGCCAGTGTTATTGTTCCCATTTTATAGAAAAGGATTCCAAGGCTCAGGGTGTTGTGCTGACCTACCCGGAGTTCCACTGCTAGTTCCTGATGGACCCAGGATCTGAGGGTAACTCAGACCCGTTGTTCTTAACCTCCTGTGCAGCATAGAACCAACCCATCCAAGGCAGTTTTCAAAATACGCATATCTGGGTTCCAGGCCTTACCCACTGAATCAAAATCTCCTTAAGGAAGAGGTGTATGGAGGGGACGCGGGGTAAGGCAGGGATGAGGAGTAAGGAGGGATGTAGGTTTGGTAAAAGCCACTCAGGGGGTTCTATAGGGACCCTGGTTAAGAATACTGAACTTCAAGGGCAGAAATGGCTTTTTCAAATATTGATGTGCTGCCTTGGGAAAGAGAGATTAGTTTTAAACTTATAAAAAACGTATAAAAAGGTTGGGAGGGGGCATAAAATGAATACTCTTATAGACTGTGGCTTGATTCACAAATTGCTCATATTTGTGATATTTGTGCGCTCTCTCTCTCTCTCTCTCTCTCTCTCTCTCTCTCCATATATATTCTCCAGAGAATTCAGTATGTGTTTCCTAAGAACTAGGACAGCTCTTCAACATAACCACAATGAACTTATCCTACCCAAGAAATGTAACCTTAGTTCAATACCTAATATACCAGCCCATAGTTGAATTTCCTCAGTGGCCCTAACATTTATTATTATTATCATCATGATTATTATTTTAATCCAATAAAAGTGATCACATTAGATTGGTCATCATATCTCTTCAGCCCCTGTCATCTAGAATAGCCCTCCCACCTGTATTTTATCTTTCAGGATGCTGACTATTTTTTAAAGGGTAGACCAGTTGTCCCATAGAGTATTCCCCAATTCAGATTTATCTGATTTTTTCATCATGATTACATTCAGGTTAAACATGTTGGCAAAAATACAACATAGGTGATTTCATGTGCATCTCCTTGCCTTCTATCAATAGACACATGCTGTCAGTTTGCCCATTATTAATGAAGCTCAGTCTGAGCACTTCTTGTAGTTGAGTAATGGCTTTAAAGACAAAGTCTAATGGCACATAGTGATTATTTCATGAACAAATACTTAGCTTTCATTTTTCTGAGTGCAGAGCAAGTTTCTGGTCTGCCGAACCATAAAGCCTGTCCTTTTCCATTCTCAACCAAAGTCAATTGCTGGGACTCATACATTCCCTGGGGCCCGGGGAAAGGGAATAGTGGCGTGGACCAGGAGAGGGAAAGAGGGATGAGCAAGGAAATGGGCGTGGTATGCCCTTATGGATTCCCCCCAGCCGCTGGCTGTATTAATTTGTCACTGACTTTGCTGCTTTTGGCCCGGGGCAAGTCTATCTGATGACACATACTGACTGAATGCCACCCATTTGCCCAAAACCTTTCCTGTACAGGCCAGTCTCTTGTGCACACCTTTTTTGCACTTATAAGAATGTCCTTGGAGAACTCTGAATGGCAAAAAGGTTATAGTCTAAGACGCATGACAATCATTGTGACCTCAAAGTTTTCTGACCTTAGCTTTCTGACCTGAAATAAAAACCTGGGTAACACCAATTTCTTAGATTTTAAGGGGAAGCATCATCACCCTTTTCCTCATGGGCCAAAACTTAGACTCTTCAGAAGAAAGCGCCTAAGACTGAGGTGGATTAGCCAGCCAGAGAGGAACAGGCAGAATACTGTACAGAATCTAATCAGATATTTTAAAATCCAGAGATACTATTTCCAGAGGATTGATATGTGTATTTTATATATACTCACACAGAGACATATATGTATATGCATTCATTTTAATGATACTGCTTTTTAAAAAGACAGGAAAAACAAATTTCAATTGACACTATATTCAGTTATTAAGAAATTTTGCATTTGTTTGCATCAATCAACATGTTAGGATTGAATCTATGCAGCTAGTGTCCTCAGGCTATAGCCACAAACATGCTCTTGGGTTCTTCTGAGCGCCCTGGAATGCATCAGGTGCCTTTCCAAGTGCCTTGTGGAACCACTGGAATAAGATTTGAGGGAGAAAAAAATATAAGTAATGCTTACACTGGAGATGTTGAAATTGCTTCTGAAATCACCCTGCTGTATATAAAATTGAATCTATTTTTGAGGCATTAGGGAAGTGACTGTCTGCTTCGGCGGCAGTATCTTTAGGAGGCCCTAGCCTAGGATTATTTGCAAATGGTGAGGAAGCATTGAGAGTAGCAGAGCACAAGAATAGATGTCACATTGGAAAAGATTACAGATGAACGTGCCCCGAGCAATTATTTCATTATTGAACAGTTGGGCCCTGACCTAATTCAAACTCTGCTTTTCCATGCAAAGGTTTATTTTCTGGGGTTTTCTAGTCCAAGTCATTGCTATGCTAAGTTCTGCAACATCCATTCACTCAAGCCCCCCAATTTTGCATTAGGAACAATGACCTCTGGGTGGCAAGGGTGATGGGGCTGTGTGGGGTATGGGCCATTGCTTTGACGTTCTTGAAAAAAGGAGTGCATGTCATATTTCAAGGACCAACAATGCATTGTTTTCAGTTTAAAGAAATGCTGGCTTTAATCAAGTAATCTGATTTTGATCTTATTGCCCTGTGTGCCTGGTTGTGTTTTATTTTTTCTGAGATCTTTCACTCACTGGGGTTGTTTTCTGGGACTTTCTTCTTATATCCCTATTTATATCTTTATCTTTATATCTTTTATTCATGGTGTCATCTTCTTGTTCATTTTCAGGCCAAGTCAGAATGCTTCAAAACAAATCCCTGTTGACTCCCTATGATAGGGACTTTGGTTGCCTGCCTTTCCCATATGGCATATGACAGACTCACTTACTCATTGGGTACTGTTAGTTAACTCTGTCTTTATTTTTATGCTTCCATTCTGTGGAATGGTTCCATCTCTGGTGGGTGAAGACAATCTAGGTCAAAAAAGACACTGGGCCTTCAAGCTCTCTGCTGAGTAAGGAAACAGGCATGGCTGAGGCCTTGGAGATGAGATTCATTGACCGTTTCTCAACACTTAATATATACCTGTCCCTGTGCCATGAGTCTCAGGCACAGTTTGAAGAAGGGGATTATTGCAAAAATAAGTAAAATGGGGCATCGTTTCACAAAGAATAAATGTTTTCTCTTACAGGTTTTTCATAGTTTATGGAAGTACTTTCGCAAAGGAGTGAGAGATCCTATTCTTGCACCATGAGGTAGCTAGCAGGGTTATTACTGCACTCAGTCTACAGATGAGAAAACTGAGGTTCAGAGAGACCCCGTGCCCCACATCACACAGGCATTTGCACAGTCAGAGTGAGGACCCATCTCTCCTGACATCAGTTAGGTTCTCTCCACCTAGTTCTGCAAAGAATTTGGGAAATATCTTGTCAAAGTACCTAAAATAAGACAGCTGTAAGAGAAATAAATGATCGGGATCAGGAAAACATAAATGAAGACACGGAGGTCAAAAACAGGTTATATTAAAATGGAATTATGTTTAAAAAGTAATCTAACTATGCAGGCTGGTAACTTTCAAATTCCAATTTGCCTCTGAGCTTCCTAGTAGTGAAAGCCCAGAGAGGTAGATAACTTTTATTGGCACTTACTAGATCTGATGCTTTATACAAACCCCACTCTTAAGTCTCCTAGGAACCCCATAATTAAATAATATTACCATTTCCTAAATGAGGAAACCTAGTTTCAAAGAACTGAAGTAAATAAGCTCAATGTTGCACATATAGAGTATGATGGGATCGAAGCCAAATAGTATTATCTGGCTTCTCCTGTACCATCAGTGGCAGCCCACCGCTCACAGGTCTCACTGAGTGGGGCTACTGAGGCTGGGGGCGAGCTCAGCTCCACTTCTCTCCCGATGGTCACCCAGCTTTTCAGCCATGTGGGCAGAAGCTGCGGCCACGGCTGTGTCCTACATGGAGGCCTGGCGCAGGCCCTGTCATGGAGCCAATCAGATCCCCACGAGGTGCCAGGCTCTGAGATCA